ACCGGGAGGAGGGTTGCCGCGCTGTGTGTGGCATCAGGAGGTGGAAGTAACCCCGGTGCCTACCAAGGGGTAAGAAAAATGTAGCACATGCTCGGGCATTCACAGTGACACACTGGATTTATATCAGCATGGAGAGTTCAAAAACAGCGTGTGCAGAAGGGAAATTAAGAAAAGAATGAGGGTTTTTTTCACCCTCTAAGCACAATACCATTTTAGGAAGTTAACACACACACGGCATGTTTTTCAAGGACACTCACATATCTAAGTGACTGGAAGGTGGATTGCCAGGAATGATATGAAGTGGGGTGAGGGGTGAGGGGTGAGGATGGATGGAGAGTGTGTGTGAATGGCACAGGGCAGAGGCTGGCGGACTCCAGCGTGAGAGCCGTGTTTACATTTTTAAGTGGCTGGAAAAACAATTAAAAGAAGGATTCCATTTGGGACACATGGAAATGATATGAAATTGATGTTTCGGTGTCCACACACCAAGTTTTCTTGGCACACAGCCATGCTCGTTTATTAATACATATATATTTATTAATACATATATATATATTAATACATATGTATGTTTAAAATATATATTTTATTGATTTTTTACAGAGAGGAAGAGAAAGGGATAGAGAGTTAGAAACATCGATGAGAGAGAATCATCGATCAGCCGCCTCTTGCATCACCCCTACTAGGGATGTGCCCGCAACCAAGGTACATGCCCTTGACCGGAATCGGACACGGGACCTTTCAGTCTGCAGGCAAACGCTCTATCCACTGAGCCAAACCGGTCTCGGCTATTAATACTTATATTGTTTACGTCTGTTTTCATGTTACAAAGGCACCAAATTAATGAAAATGTACACACAAAATAGACACTTCTGCCCAGCCCGGTGGCTCAGGTGGTTGAGCATCATCCTGTGCCCTGAGGGGTGACTGGTTCATATCTGGGTTGTACGTTTGATCTCCGGTTGGGGCACATATGGAAGGCAAGTAATCAATGTTCTCTCTCTTATCTCTCTCTCTCTCTCTCTCTCTCCCCCTTTCTTGGGTGAGGTTTAAAAGAAATAATAATAAAATTAAAAAATGCACAGTTTTGCCCTGGCTGGGCAGTTCAGTGGGTTAGAGTGTCGTTCTGATACGTCAATATTACAGGTTTGATTCCCCATCAGGGCACATACAAGAATCAACCAATGAATGCGTAAATAAGTGGAACAAGAAATCAATGTTCTCTCTCCCTCTCAAACCAATAAAAATAAAGAATGTCCAAAGTTGTAGGGAATTTTAAAAAATTAAAAAAAATATATATATATACACAATATATACATTTTTTTGTATATAATATACCTTAATAAAGCTGGGGAAGAAAAAGAACAGAGTAAATTGAGTTATTGCAACATAGATCATACGGCCCACAAAACGGAAAATATTTACTGACTCTCATCACTGAGGCAGGAAAAGATGATGAAAAAGAGTAAAGTAAAACAACAGCAGTGTGGTCACCACGGGCAGAAGAAATTTCATTATCTCAGGTTTGGGCCCCTTAAGTCCAAAAGAAATTGTTAAAAATGTAAATTACGGGTCAACCCAGCCAGTGCCAGAAAGGGGTGAGCCCAAGGGGGGTGAAGCGATTTGGAATCAGACAACAGGAGCCTTAGAAGGCCCTTCAGAAACTGCCCTGAGAAAACAGACCAGAGGATGCGAATGCTCCTGAGGAAGGACGTTGACGTGGTACCGAGAGTAAAGAACGAAGTGGCGGTTCAAAACAAAAAGGCGCCTCCCACAAATTCTTAGTAACGTCAGAAAATGTCCCTGGGATATCGTGATAGCAAAACGATAAATCCTGGCTTCAGGAACTGTGGGCAAATCCCTAACCTGCCTGAGCCCCCATTTCCTCATCTCCAACATGGGGATTAAAAACACCCCTCCTTAGACAGGTGCTGGGGATCTGAATGAATTAAAATATGAAAAGGGAATCAATAACGCCTATAGTGAGGGCAGCCTAAATGCTTTAAAAAGTAGAATGAAGAGAAACAACAAATTCCAAGTCCTATGTTCCGGAATTGAAAAATACAGATTATTTTGTGTTAAATAATTCAGAAGGAGCCCTAGCCAGTCTGGCTCGCGGACAGAGCACTGGCCTGTGGACGGAAGGGTCGCAGGTTTGATTCTGGTCAGAGCACATGCCTGGTTACAGGTTCGATCCCCCGGTGGGACGTGCAGGAGACAGCCAATCAACAATCTCTCTAAAAAAATAAATGATAATAATTCTCTCTCCTCATTGATGTTTCCCTCCCTCTTCCTTTCTGAAATCAATAAAAAACATATAAAAAAATTCAGGAGGAAAGAAGAAGTGTTGACAGCAGCTGCGTCTGGGCGGTGGTAGGTTTATGGGAGTTTTATTTTGTGTTCTAGATTTTTCTCTACTTCCCAAAGCTTCCACAAAGAATATGAATTGCTCATATGTTTCAAACAAGAAATATGTTTCAAACAAGAGCAGAGAGAATTTCAAAGTCTTGGAGGGGCCACAGCTATGCATGTGTCTGGCTGCCCTCTCTTCTCTTGACCTCTGTGGTGCCTTTGCCAGATTGGGGACAGGACTTGGGGTTCTCCAGGCTTTTCCAGCCCGAGGGGAAGACTGCCCTTCAATTGCGGTGAGCACATTCTACAGGGCGGAAAGGTTGGGCTCCTCCTTGCCTCTTCCTCCAGGGAGCCCTCCCTGACCTACACATCTAGCTGACCTACCTAAGCAAATACATAGTTCAAATACGTAACAAGTCCTCTTAGCATTTTATCTCATTTTATTTCTCCTATTGCTCATCCCCAGCCTAGAAACCAGGGAGGACCTTCCCCTGATGCTCAGGCTGTCCTGCACCCCGCTTCCCTAGCCTCATCTTATTCCAGTTTGTTTGGCTGACCCCAAATCCCTCCTCACCTCAGGGCCTCCCCGTGCTGTGCCCCCTCCCAGAACACTCTCCTTCCCACTTCTTTGCCCTCTGACTGCTTCTTTCCTTTCACATCTCGGTTCAGAGTCCATAGCTGACCCTTGAGCACCCGTTGTGTGTCTGGTGCCACACAGAACACGGAACACGAACGGATGCATTTAAGCCTCATATTAACCTGGTGACATCGGGCTGTCAAGACCCCCAGTTTGCAAATGAGACACAGAGAGGTTAAATAAATTGCTCAAGGGCGCAGAGCTAGGGAGCAGGGAAGCCCATCCCCCCGCGCCCCATCCCCCTCTCCCCCATCAAACACGGATCTGCCTCAAACACGGATTCTCTGAAATAACTCTTCACTTGTTTGTTGTGGCCTATTTGTTTATCGCGGGGGCTTTTGTCTATCTTGTGCACCGCTGTGTCCCCAGTGCCTAGAAGCGTTGGCATATCACAGGTGCTCTATAAACATCTGCTGAATGAGCAGACACGGAAATGAAGGAGCCCGGGGGGCCTGGCTGCAGCAAGAAGGAGTTAAGTGAGACACAAGGAAGCACTGCCTGGGAGGACACCGCTGTCTGTGCGTCCCAACGGCAGGAGGTCCCATGACTGCCCTGGGAGGCATGTCTGGAATGGAGGTTGCCTCTCAGAGGTCCTGAGGTTGGGCCAGGCGGGGCTCCTGGCTGGAGGCCAGAGTCGCAGGGCTGGGTGTTTGGAATAGATACAGCACAGAGGGGTGGTGCCCGGAGCTGGCCAGAAACAACATGGAAAAGCAAGAAAACACAGCTGCGTCCCCACCCTCCAGCTGTGCCCTCAGGTCCCACTGCGAGGCCTGGGCACCTGAGATCTGGGTTGCCATGAGCACCTGGGGCCCCCCTGGGAGCCCTGCCACAGTTCAGGCTGACGTCGGCTCGGATCCTGCTTCGGCCGCTTCCTGGCTGCGTGACCCGGGCAAGCACAACTTCTCCCCAAGCCCCCGTCTCCCCGGCTGTAAACAGAGCTGACCTGAGAGTCATCAGACGCAGACATAAGCACTGATGGAGGGCTCACCGTGCGCGCTGATTCACAAGCATCCTAGAGGGGCTGTGAGCATGCCGCTTCACAGAGAGGGAGGCCGAGGGACACACACAAGAAGTGGAATTTCAACCCAGGTTGTCTGACTGCACAGCCCTGCCTTCAGCCCGCTCCAGGCAAAATGCTTTGCACAGCACCCAGCTCCCGGCTGGTATCCGATAAAGAACAGCTGCTGTTATTATTATGAATCATCCTGGCAGTGTCTCTGGGAGCCCCAGGGCGGCAGTGGTAGGCAGCTGCCATGCTGTACAACCCACATCCCCTTTCTGGGCATGAAGACTCAGCACTTCCTTCAGGGAGCACCCTCAGGACTTGGCTGCAGCACCTGGGTGGGGCTCCCTTACCCCAAGGGCCAGGCAGTGCGGGTCAGCGATGAGCTCAGTGTTGGGCATGTGACCCCAGCCGGCGATGATGCCACCTCCGGGGTTTTTGTCGGCAGTGTTTGGACGGAGGGGCGCCCTGCCCACTGAGCTGCACGCACAGAGGCGCAGAGTGGGGTGTGTGTGTGTGTGTGTGTGTGTGTCACCTTTGCTGGTCTAAAACAGAAGCCTCGAGGGTGCAGAGAGGAAGAGAAAGAAGGAAAGAGTCAAGAGCACCAGGATCCAGCCATGCCTGAAGCTGTCCCTGAGTTACATTTCCTTTCCATTCCTTTCCTTTCCATTCCTTGAACTGGTCTGAGATTGCGTCCTGCCACTTACTGAGCAAACAGGGAGGGTTTTTTTGCTCAGTAAACCAATTCCTGGGGAGATCCTTCAAATACTTTGTCTCCTGGACACTTCCAGTGTACGAGGCACGAGAACGCACATTTGACAGACACCCAGGTGTCCGGCACGACCCCACACACTGAGTTGGTGGCCCAGTTTCGCCCCCTTTGTGCAGAGGAAGAAAGACGGGATGGATGTGTCTGGTGGAAGGCCGGGGCCGGGGCCGGGGCCGGGGCCGGACCCCACTGCTCCGGCAGAGCGAGGCCCCTCCGCGGTCCTCCCCCCGGATGCTCACCTGCCGCCCCGTTGCAGCTCGGCTCCGTGATGCTGATCTTCTTCACCAGGTGGACGTGGCCCGGGGCTGCCGCGGCCGAGGAGAAGGCCGCCTCCACCACTTCGTGGCTCCGGAACACGGGGCGGCTCTCGGGCCCCCCGGGGGCCACCAGGGCCCGCAGCCCCGCCCCGTAGGGCTCCAGGCTCTGGGCCCGCTGCGCGGGGGCCCCAGCCGCCGTGCTGGCCGCCACCTCCACCTCCCGAGGTCCCTCCACCACGCGGACAGTGTCCACGCGGACGGGGCTGTCGGGCGGGGGCCAGGCCTGGGCCTGGGGCTGGGCCTGGGGCTGGGGGCCGGCCTGCCGGGCCTGCGCCGCCTGCAGCTCCTGGAGCGCCTTCTTGAGCTGGGTCTCCAGCACGGCGACCTTGGCGGCCAGGGCCGCCTCCCCGTCGGGCACGCCCAGGTCCCGCTCGCGGACCCAGGTGCCCACGCTCCGCGTCTCCGGCGGCGCCGGGTCCTCGGGAGCCTCGGGGAGGTCGAGGCAGAGCTCGCCGCGGCCCCGGGCCCCCGAGGGGTGGCCCAGGAACTTCTGGCTCTTGAGCTGCACCGTGAGCTGCCGCTTCTCCTCCTGCAGCACCGACAGCTTCACCTGCAGCACGGGGATCAGCTTCACCTGCTCCTCCAGCTGCCGCAGCTTCCGCAGGGCGCCCGCCATCTGCTCCCGCACGTGGGCCAGGTGCCCGGCGCTGGGCGGCACCGGCGTGGACATGCCCGAGCCCCGGGGCGTCGGGGGCGGCAGCCCCACCCCCACCAGGGAGCTGGTGGAGCTGGCGGCGCTGGGGGCCAGGGAGCCCAGGCCCGCGGGCGCGGCGGCCTGGTCCTCCAGGCGGCGCCGGGCGTCCAGCAGGGTGCGCTCCACCCGGGGGTTGAAGCCGCCGCCGCGGGCCTCCAGGGCGCCGTACTGCGGGTAGAAGCCGCGGCCGCAGTAGGAGTAGGCCGAGTGGCGGCTGTCGGCGCTGGCGTTGGAGCACAGCGACTCGGTGGAGGTCCACCAGGAGCCGGGGCCCCGGGGCAGCGAGCCCAGGCGCGGCCGGCGCTGCACGGCCACGCGGCGCAGCGTGTGGCCCTTCTCGATGTCGTCCACGTACTTGAGGAAATCCAGGTCCAGGCGGTAGCCATAGGGCGTCTCCACCGAGTACGGAGGCTCGGTCTCCTTCGGGGGGAAGGCCGGCGGGGAGGCTGGGCCGGGGGTCCCTAGGGCGGGAGGAACGCTAAGGCTTCTGAACGCCGCTGTCCTCGGCGGGGAAGACAGGCCTCCCCCCCCCCACACACACACACACTTTCCCCTCCTCCCAGAGCCAAGATTTATTTGCCGGAGAAATGGGAGCCCGCAGGCCCTCAGCAGCTAAACTGGGTCTCCAGTCTCAGGCCCCCACCCCCACCCCCACCCCAGGGCCATCTCCCTCTCTGACCCTCCAGGACAGTCAGGTTGTCTATATTCAGGCCCTCAGGGCAGGGCTGTGTTCCAGCCAGCCGCCCCCACCCCAGGTAGGGCCCTCTCTCTCCCCGCCCTCAGGCCTCCAGGGCCGGCCCACGTCCCACCGCCTGGCAGGAGTCTGACCTGGAAAGGGGGCGGGCACGTGCAGGACTTGGGCCATCGTCCCCTCCGTAGATGCTCCTCAAGCGTCCGGGAGGCCTGGAGTCAGACTGCCTTCAGCACGGCCTGAGGCTCACCTGGGGAGGGGGCGTGGAGGGGAGTCAGGAAGGGTCTGCAGGGGGAGGGGAGGGGATGTGGCCACCACCCAGTCCCGGGTCAGGACCCTCGTGCAGGCGTACACCCAGCCACGCTGTGGAAAGGGCTGGGGTGGGGTGAGGGCCCTGGGGCCTAGAACAAAGGAACCAAACCTCCCAGCCTGCCTGCACATCTGTCCAGCCGCTGGACAGTCTCCAGCTGTCCCAAAGCCCGCCTCCACAAGGCCCCCAGGCTCGGGGCCCAAGACCTACAAGCCCACCCTTCCTGCACCCCCTTCCCTCAGCCCAGGCCAGGAGCAGGTCTGGGGTCAGATGGGGGCTGAGGTTGGCAGGGGGCTGGGGTGCTAATAGGGGGACAGCTACCCTATAGGAGACCCAGAGACAAAAAAAAAAAAAAAAAAATGAGAGAGAGAGAACTACAGCTCAGGGTAGGGGACCCCAAAATAGAGCTGGGTCAGGGAAGTCGGGGGAGAGAGGGTAGGGAAAATTGTGGGGAGGCAGTGAGGAGCAAAGCCTTTCCCCTTTATGGAAACAATTTTCTCTAAAAATAAACAGTTTCGCTGCCGGGCTACACGGGAACTTCCTGCCCACCCCCAGGACACGTCCGGCTGGGGAGAGGGGTGCCCAGCAGCGGGGCGGTGGCCCGGGAAGTCATGGGGGTACGAGGAGGAAGTCAGAGGGGGCGCCTGGAGGCTGCAAAGGGGAGGGACAATCAGGGCCTCTCACTCACTCCCCCTCACTCCCCTGGAGTCCAGCCAGGGTCCTTTTGTCCCAAACACTCCGTCTGAGCCTATCCAGTCCTTCCTGCTGTTTGACCTCCAGCTACCCTATGGCAGAGGCCCAGGCCCACCCCTCAGCAGCCCGTGGGTGCGGAGCAGTGGGTACCTGGGAGGACGGGCCAGGCGGGACACCGGCTGGGCATGAAGGCGGGGCTGGGGCTCCAGGGGCTGCCAAGCTGGTCCTTTTCTCACACCCAGTGTCTCTCGGTCAGTCGGCGTCTCGCTTTATCTCTCTCCACGTCTCTGTCTCTGTGTCTCTCTCTGTACTTCCTTCTCCCTGTCTCTCCACGTCTCTGTCCTCGCTTCTCTGTCTTGCAACACCTGGAACACGTAGCCACCAAACGTAGGAAGGCTGGTTTTCCACCTGCCGGGAGGCTCCCCCCCTCTATAGGACAGGATTACAAATAATTTCTGGGGACCCGAGAGAGGGAGACAGGCTGCAGGACTGGAACAGCCTGTGGGGGCGCCTGGAGGTGGGCAGGGATGGGGTGAATAATAGCAACAACACTGATCTGTGCATCAGACAAACCCACCCCACCAGATGGGGAATGGGGAGGCACGGAAATGTGCAGTGACTAGTCCCAGGTCACTGGGTGGGTAAAGGGCTGGTCCTGGGTTTGAACCTAAGCCTCGCAGATCCCCCCGCTGCAGGCCTGGCCACCCTCCCCCGCACTCCACATCCCTCCAGCCCATTTCCCAGGCTGAGAATGGGATCTGGGGGTCTCCAGCCACCCGACCATCCTCAGTGAGGGCAGGCAGCTCCAGGCGGAGAAAGCAGAATGGAAGCGGGGATGTCTGCGGCTGAGGCCCCTTTCCCTCTGTGGAACCCCTTGGGGTACAGGGAGGGAGGGGGACACAAAATAGAGGCAGAAAGGAAGACAGGATGAGCCCGGGTGAGCCCGAATGCCCAACCGGGTGTCCCTTAAAGGCCCCCTGGCTGACCAGCCAGGATGTCTCTGGGGTCTTCCCGCCCCTCTCCCCGCCCCAAAGATGGGGTGAGGAGGACCCCACCCGTGCAGGGAGGGGCGGGGCCTGCGGGGTCCCCGGCTAATGGCAAACAGCTGCCGCTCCCCACGCCGGCCCAACCGCCAGGCCCAGGCCCAGCCCCGCCGGACGCCGGGTCGCCTTCCCCGCGCCCGGGGCCTGGCTCTGGGCGGCCGCCGAGGGCGCAGGGAGACGGAGCGGGGCCGGGGGCGGGGGGTGCGGTGGAGGGACGGAGCGGGGGAGAGGGGAGAAGGGAGGCAGCGACGGGGCGGAGGGGTAGGGCCAGAGGTACAGATGGGAGAGGAGGACGGGGTGGGGGTGAGGAGCAGGGACGGGGGTCAGAGACGAGAACCGGGCAGAAACACTCAAAAGTCCGCAAAGTTTGGGCTGAGATAGTGGAGTGAGAGGCAGCGGCTGGTCCACACCCGCGAGGCTCTGCCGCGGAGTTGGCGGCGGCGAAGGACCACGCTCGAACCCCGAAGCGGACTCGAACCCCGATCCGACCCCCGGCCCTACTCGCCTCCCGCGCTCCGGCCGCCGCCGTCCCCGCGTCCCGCTGCCCGTGCGTCCTCCGCGCGCCGCCGCTGCCCGGCCTCCGGCCTCGGCGGTGGCCCCGCCCCTCCTGTGGGCCCCGCCCCTGCCCTCGGCGATGGCCCCGCCCCCTGCCGCCTGCGGGCTGGCAGCGGCGGGAGACGGGCGGGAGGACGCGATCGCACCTGGACGGCAGGTGTGCGCGCGCATGGGGGCACCAGTCCGTGTCCCCGCGCCTCCCCTCCCGGGTCCCGGACCCCCCGCTGTCCCCCCTCCTGCTGCGGCTGGGCCGCTGCGGGGGGCGGGGAGAGCGGGACTGGCCCGGCCCCAGCTTCGCGAGGGCGCGGAGGGCGGGCAGCGGCGGACGGAGCTCCCCCTCCCGCCGCGCAGCGGGCCGAGGCTGGAAGCGGCCCAGCGCAGGCCTGGTACGCGGTGACCGCCCGCCGCGGGGCGGACCGGGAGCTGGGTCAGCTCAAGGCTGCACAGGCCGCAGCTGAGGCCTGGGCTCTCTGGCCGCCGGACCGGGGCTCCAGTCCCAACCCCACCAGGCCTTTAAGTGCTCGGTGCCTCAGTTTCCCCATCTCTAAGACGGGGTTAAGAGTGTGCCTGATAGTGGTGCTGAGGAGATTCAATAACCTGTTGGAGTTTTTTTGGGCAAAAAGACCCATAAGTGGGGCAGTGTCTTCCTGGGGGCTGGGCAATCAGCAAGGGTTTAATAAATGCTCCTTTTGAAAAAATAAAATAAACGTTCTATTATTCCCATGTACATGTGACATTTTCATTTGTGTGTTGCCTTCCTCATCGGAACCACAAGCCCCACAAGGGCAGGCATTTGCAACTGTGGTCACTGCCGTGTCCCTGGCACCCAACAGTCTCAGTGGCTGTCAAAGATCAGAGAGTGGATATACGGTGCTCACGTGACCCAACCCGCAGGGACCACACCACACAGGCTTCTCATAAAAAAACATTTTAAATTAAAGAAAGGTAAGAAGTATCAGTGCACAAACAGGAACAGAGGGCCCAGCACCACATGCAATGTGGTCACCCCGAGGGGGCAGACTCCCAGAAAGGCACAGAGCTGAGGCAGGGTGCTGGTTCCTCTGGGTGTGGTTTTGGCCCTGTGAGCTCAGAGGTCGGCCTTCCGGAAACTTGCTCTGTTCAAGGAATTCCTGGGGGAGGAATGAGGTGGGTCAGCATGGACACAGATGCCCCCAGCTCCACAGTGCTCCCAGCCCCCTCCCTCCTCCTCCGCCAAAGCTTCTCTGCTCCTTTCACACCCGTTCTGATCTGGCTGTGGGCTCACAGATTCTCTCCCGGAACCCACCACCAGAATCGCGTCGTGCCCATTTTACGGATGTAGAAACCGAGGCTCAGGAAGATGAAGTTGCTTGTGTGGGACCTGATGCACTAGGACAGTGGTGGGCAAACTGCGGCTCGCAAGCCACATGCAGCTCTTTGGTCCCTTGAGTTTTTAGCTAAGGCCGGCTTAGGAGTACCTTAATTGAGTTAATAACAATGTACCTACCCATATAGTTTAAGTTTAAAAAATGTGTCTCTCAAGAGAAATTTCAATCGTGGTACTGTTGCTGTTCGGCTCTGTTGACTAATGAGTTTGCCGACCACTGCCCTGGGATCGGAAATGATTGCCCAGAGTGTGCATCTGTGCACATGCCCAAGTAGTCACATCCTTGTGTGCAAAGCCACATGCGTGTGTTGATGTGCACGACAGTCCCCATCCTGTGCCTGCCTCCGCCGGCCCTCTCCAGGGTGGGGGCCGGGGTCAGGCACCTGAGGCTGGCCGTGGTCGGCGCCAGCAGCTGGGGCAGCCGCTGGGTGAGCAGGGGCTGCAGAGCCTCCCGCAGGCGGGCGTAGTTGCGCTCCAGCTCGCGATGGTACTCCTTCTGGTCTGGCCCAATCAGGGCCTTGTTCTTGCGCAGCGCATCCTCGCACCTGGGGGCCGGATGGCAAGGTGCTCAGGGACTGGCACTCAGGAGAGAAGAAAGCAAGACCAGAGGCGGAGGGGGAGTCCGTGAGGTGGGTCAGGAGCTAGGACGGGGAGGGGGGAGAGTGGGCGGAGCGCCATGATGAGGGCTGGAGGGGGAGGCCAGGCCTACTTCTTGCAGAAGTCCTTGAAGCAGAGCCGGAGCTTGTTGTGGTGCCTGAAGAGTTTGGGGTCTTCTGGGATCTCTGCCAAAAACACCTGGGCCACCTCCAAGGGACCCTGTGGGGTAAGAAGGCCTTGTGGTGGTGTCTGCGTGGACCCCGGGGGGCCTCGGGCAGCCTGCAGACCCCAGCGGCCATGCCTGGTTCACCGTGGGTCCCACGGAGCCCTGGAGCACCATCTGCAGCATCTTGGCATCCGGCGGGTCCTGTTCGGTGGCAAAGGCCAGCTCCCGTGTCTTTTTCTGCATGTCCTCGATGGCCACCTCCACTGGCGTCAACACTGTCTGCAGGGGGAGGGGGCGGCTCGCACTGGCTGGGCCGGAAGACATCTTGGCCCAGGACAGCCCAGGGCAGCTGCAGGGGGGAGGGGCCTGCGTGGCTGTGTCATGAACAGCGTGTGAGGGCTCCTGCCCGCCTGGCTCTGCCAGGGCCTGGCCCGGCTGCCTCTGTCTAGCTCTGGGGCTGTGGCCTGGCTGTGGTCCAGCCCTGGGTCAGCTGGGTCTGGAGGGAGGGATCTGAGGCTACAGGGGTCTGGAGGTTGGAGTTGGGAGTCCCCTCACCTCCCCCAGCCCGGGTTTGGGGACCCCACCTACCTCCTCCCGGTGGCACACGCGAATGCGGGTCTTGATGTAGGGGAAGGCGTGGTCCGTGCTCAGCAGTGTCTTTCGCTTGTGCTGTTCGTGCAGCTCCCCGTGAGCACGCCCGTCGGGGGTGAAGGGCGTACAGAACAGGAAGGTGCGCAGTCCGTAGTTGCGGTCGAAGTAGGTCACGCGGTCCTTGAGCTCATAGGTGTCGAAGTGCGGTTCCACGTATGTGATCTGGATGTAGGCCTGGGGCACGGGGCTCGGGTGTGAGGTTCCCACACCCCCACATACCCCCCCCCCCCGGGGCTTACCAGCCTCCCAGCAGGGCTCTGTCCCTGAGAAAGGGGATCTGGGCCTCCCTGGGTCTAGGGGTTTTACACCCGGGGGTCCCAGGTCTCCTTACGTTTGGGAATTGCCTGAGGTTAAGGGTTTGGGGGTCCCTGGAAAAGGATTTGAGCGTTTCCAGGAAGTAGTACTGAGAGCCACCCTGACTATCGAATTTTGGGGACCCCAGGGGCGTGGCCAGGAACCCTCACCTTCTGGGAGTCGAGCTTGGTCTTGTCGACGGGGTTCGAATCTTTGACGATCTCAACCACGTCTTCTCCGAACCGCTCCGTGTAGAACTCCTGGGGACACGGGGCTGACTCGGCCGCACAGGGGCAGCCCCACCCCACCCCAGGCCGCCCTGGGCCCCTCCGCCCACCACCACCCACCGGGACGTGCCTCCAGCCGATGTGAGATCTCGGCCAGCTTCGTGATGGAGGGCTCCTTGTACACAAACTCCTGCTCGTCCAGGTCCCCGAAGCGGGCTCCGTAGAAACCCACGCGGAAGTACGTCCCAAAAACGCGCTGCGGCTGTGGGGAGGGTATGTTGGTCCGGAGGCCCGGCTGGCGGTCCCCCTGCTCCAGAAGCCGGGCCCCACGTGGCGAAGAGGCGGACATGGTCAGGGGGACCGGAGCCCTCGGGTGGGCGAGTGAGGACTCCAAGAACATGGTGTCACAGGCAGAGGCGGGGGGCCTCTTGAATACTGGGCATGGACTCAGACGACCACCAACGGCCCACCCCTTGCTCTTTCTCCCTCGCTCCCGTCTCCTACCTCCCCCAATCTGCCCCTCACTGGCCCCTCATATGGAATAAGGCCTGGGGCTATCTTGCTCACTGAATCCTCAGTGCCTACTGGGCTGGGTATGCAGCAGGTGCTCAATAAATGCTTGGGACAGAGACTCTGCCTCCTTTGTTCCAGGGCGTCCGCTCACGCCTCCCCCCTCCCCTCTCCCACCAGAAAGTAAGGGGTGGCTCCACGTTCACTCACCAAAGCAGATCCCGGAGGGTGGGGTAGGCGCCAGGAGAGGGAGGTGGGGAGCAGGGGACAGAGAGACAAAATCAGGGGGGAGGCCAGAGGGAGAGCCACCAACCCCCCAGGGTCCTAGTTATGCTGCCCCGGGAGACCAGAGCCCCGGGGGAGGGAGGGGACCCGGGGAGGGGACCCGCCCCCCACCCAGCCTCAGCTCTGGGTGCTTGCCATCTTTGGCCAGAAAATTCTCCCCAAACTAGGAGATGCCTAAAAATAGACCCAAGTGGGGGGAAGGCGGGAGAGGGGGAGCACTAAATGGCAATGAGGAGCAGAGATCCTGGGGGAGGAAGGGGAGGTGGGAGAGACAGACCAAGAGAATCAGAGGGAGTGATCAAGACAGGGAGAGACTGGGAGACATGGGGGGCGGGGGGGAGAGGAAGAGACACAGAGACAAAGAGAAAAAGAAACGGCCCCCTCGCAGGCAGTGGCTGAGCAGGCCCTGCCCAAGGG